GAAAGGAGGTGAAACGAACGCAGTGATGACAACACCAGTCAGACCCAATTACAATCTTATTTCCTTCGTACCCAATTATAGACCCCAATATATGTATAACCCACAAGTAGCGACAATTTCTTTGCCACCATACCCACAACCTTATCCATCTAGAATGCCTTATTGATCACTTTCACTACCACCACAATTTTTAGTACACCAAGCAAATCAATCAGCAATTTCACCTTCTATGGTGAATAATGCTCAAAGAATGGGTAACAATCAACAAAGGACTCTAGCTCCAATCCCTATGACCTACACTAAACTTCTACCACATCTGGTTCAAAATGCTCTAATGTGCCTTTTCCTATAAAGCATGTCCAACCTCCATATCCAAGAGGTTATGATTCAAGTGCCAAATGTGAATATCATGCTGGGGCAATAGGCCATTCAACTGAGAAATGTTGGGGTTTGAAACACAAGGTACAAGACTTGATAGATGCGAGATTATTAAGCTTTAAGGAAAGTGAGCCGAATGTAGGAAGTAATCCACTTCTAGGTCATGGGACCTCATCGGTTAATGCTATTGAAGAAGAATGTACTCCACAAGTGATAGAAGTAGAGAAGATCAAAACCCCCATGAATTTCATTTTTTCAGAATTGTGCAAATTTGGGATGATTAAGGGAGAGTCTCACGAAGCAAGAGTGTGCGGTATCCACCCTACAGTTGCACATTCTATTGAGGAATGTGACAAGTTCAAGCAAATATTACAAGCCATGATTAATTTAAACTTGGTTCAAGTGAGCCAAGTGCGAACGAAAGAGGATGTATTGATGATTCAATCAGACGGGAAGTCCAATATGACTACTCCTAGACCGCTGGTAATCACCTTCACCAACAACACTTTCGCATCAACACCTAGTACCCTTAAGTCACTCGTTGTGCAAATCCCAACTCCTTTTCCTTATAAGGACACTAAGGTAGTTCCATGGCGTTACAATGCGAAGGTGGAGCGTGACTATGGGAATGCCCAACGAAAGGAAGGCGCTGACATTGTAGGAACCAACGTAACAAATATCGCGGGGGGTATGAGGAATGACCCGTAGTGGTAGAGTCTATACTCCATAAGAGTTAAAAGTAGGAAACTTGACAAGAAATCATGAGAAAAGGGAAAATACAATCGTCGGTGAAGGAGTTTTGAGTGTTAAAAGGAGAGATGATAAGAAAGTCATAGAGGAAAAGAAAAAGGAGGTGTCAGACGAAGAAGTCTCAGAATTTCTTAAGTTTATTCGACAAAGTGAGTACAAGCTCATTGATCATTTAAATCATACTCCTGCAAGGGTATCTTTGTTATCAATGTTGATGAATTCTGAAAGTCATAGAAAGTTGTTGATGAAGATCTTGAATGAAGCTCATGTGTCCAATGACATCACACTAGACACATTTGGCAGCATCGTTGGTAACATTACAGCCAATAATCACCTCACTTTCTGTGAAATGCACAAATCACATTTTGGCTAGAGGGCTTATCGATAATGGGTCTTCATTAAATGTGATGCCCAAGTCAACATTCGATCGATTGCCTTGTGATGGGACATACATGAAACCAAGTTCCATGATTGTGAGGGCTTTTGATGGATCATGAAGGGAAGTTATGGGAGAGATTGAGATCCTTGTCCAGATTGGCCCATTCACTTTCAACATAACTTTTCAAGTCATGGATATTAAACCTGCATACAATTATTTATTGGGAAGGCCATGGATCCATTCAGCTAGGGTTGTTCCTTATTCTTTACATTAAAAGTTGAAATTTATTGTGGAGGACAAGCTAGTAATTGTCTCAGGTGAGGAAGACATGTTGGTGAGTTGTCCTACTCCCACTCGCTATATTGAAGCAGCCGAGAAGGCTCTAAAAACCTCATTTCAGTCATTGGAAATAATTAGTGTTGCTTATATTGAATCTCCCATGGGAAATCCACAATCATCAAACGCATCCATGATGGTTGCAAAGGTCATGATGAACGAAGGGTACCAGTCAGGACTTAGGTTTGGAAAATGCTTGGAAAGAGTTACAAAGTTGATAGAATTGCCAGAAAATAAGAATCGATGGGGGCTAGGGTACAAACCTACTCAAGCCTATAAAAGAAGAATGGAAGAGGAGAATAAAGAGAAGAGGTTGGCTCGTCTAGAGAATTGAGAGCCTAAAGTTCAGAGGATTCCCATTTGTCACCTTTATCAAAGCTTTCGAAGTGGAAGGGTGGTGCACACAAATCAAGTGGCTATGATTAAGGAAGATGATGATGATAATCATGCCAACTTCGTGTATCCGTGTGACCATGTGAAGAGCTCCACAATTGGAAGATCATTGAATTTCGTATGTCTCTTAATTCAATTTCAAAGTAATTGTAACACAAACTCTATGATTATGTCCGTGATTTTAGTATGATTTTTTGTTAATGGGCGTTCATGTTGTCTTTTAGTATATCATATGAATGAAATGCATTTCGATATTCTATCACGTGTGTTTTCTATCCTTTAGTCTTTCTTTTCTTTCATTTATTGCTCCAACCTTCATTTTCTTTCGTCAACCCTAAATTGCATATCCAATAATAACCATGCTAAAAATAATAATGCTAATATCCCATGTCACAATTTTGATCACCTCATTTATGAAGTTGAGGAGGATAACGATGACTTGAGCACTCCACCGGAAATGGAAAGGTTGGTGGAATAAGAGGATCGGGTAATCCAAACCCATGAGGAAGAACTTGAAGTGATTAATATGAGAAATGAAAATGATAAAAAAGAAATAAAGTAGGAGTTTCTATAAAAGGAGAAGAAAGAAATAAGTTGCTCAAGTTGTTGTTTGATTATGTTGATGTCTTCGCGTGGTCATATCAAGACATGCCTGGGTTGGATTCTAGCATAGTTGAGCATCACTTGCCATTGAACCCCGAGTGCATACCGGTTAAGCAAAAATTGAGGCACATGAAGCCGGAGGTCTCTTTAAAGATAAAAGAATAGGTGAAGAAACAATTTGATGTTGGATTCCTTGTAGTGTCGAAGTACCCTCAATGGGTTGCCAATATAGTTCTTGTTCCAAAGAAAGATGGAAAAGTATGAATGTGTGTTGACTACAGAGACCTTAACAGGGCTAGTCTCAAAGATGATTTTCCATTGCCACATATAGATGTTCTAGTGGATAACATTGCCTGACATGCTTTCTTCTCGTTCATGGATGGATTTTCAGGATATAATCAAATAATGATGGCTCTCGAAGACATGGAAAAAACCACATTCATTACATCGTGGGGAACATTCTGTTACAAAGTGATGCCCTTTGGATTGAAGAATGTTATGGTTACTTTTTTTCGTGATATGATGCACAAAAAGATTAAAGTTTATGTCGACGATATGATTGCTAAGTCAATAATAGAGGTAGAGCATATCACAAATCTACAAAAGCTATTTAAGCGGTTGAGGAAGAATAAGCTCCGACTTAATCCTTCCAAAAGTACTTTTGGTGTGAAGTCAGGCAAGTTTTTGGGATTTGTAGTCAATGAAAACGGTATAGAAATGGATCTTGACAAAGTGCGAGCAATTTTAGAAATGTCAGCTCCTAGTACGGAAAAAGAAGTTCGTGGTTTCTTGGGTAGGTTGAACTACATTGCCAGGTTCATATCCCAATTAACTGCCACCTGCAATCCAATTTTCAAGTTACTGTGCAAGAGTCAACCAGTGGTATGGAATGAAGACTATCAAAAAGCTTTTGAGAAGATCAAGCAGTATTTGCAAGACCCTCCAGTTTTGGTACCACCCATTTTAGGGAGACCTCTCATTTTTTATATCTCGGTACTTGATGAATCTATGGGTTGTACATTGGGGCAACATGATGCATCTGGAAGAAAAGAACAAGCAATCTATTACTTGAGTAAGAAGTTTATAGATTGTGAAAGAAGGTACTCTTTACTAGAGTGAACCTGTTGTGCTTTGGCTTGGGCTACTCGACGTTTGAGACAATACATGTTAAGTCACACTACTTGGTTAGTGTCCAAGATGGATCCGATCAAGTATATATTTGAAAAGCCTGCTCTAACTGGTCAAATTTCTCGCTGACAAATGTTGTTGTCAGAGTATGATATTGTATATGTAACCCAAAAGGTTGTTAAAGGCAGTGCATTGGCTAAGTATTTGGCTATGCTTTGAGCCCTCGTGCTCACTCTTTTAATGTATCGAGCCCTCGTGCTCACTCTTTTAATGTATCGAGCCCTCGTGCTCACTCTTTTAATGTTAATGTTTCAAGCTCTCGTGCTCACTTTGTTAATGTATTGAGCCCTTGTGCTCATTCCTTTTTATGTGCCCAACCTTGTGTGCTTAATTCTTAATATTTTGGATCTCTGAGTCCACTATTTTCATATTTTGAGTCCCCGTGCTCTTAGCTTTCAATATTTTGGATCCCCAAGTCCATTGTTTTCATATTTTGAGTCATTGTGTTTTTAGCTTTCAATATTTTGTATCCTCGAGTCCATCGTTTTCATATTTTGAGTCCCCGTGCTTTTAACTTTCAATATTTTGGGCCCCCGAGTCCACTATTTCCATATTTTGAGTCCCTGTGTTTATAATTCTCAATATTTTGGATCTCTGACTCAAGTGTTTTCATATTTTGAGTTCCCATGCTCTTAGCTTTTAATATTTTGGGTCCCGAGGTCCACTATTTTCATATTTGAGTCCTCGTGCTCTTTGCTTCCAATATTCTTTTGATATTTTAGGATCCCTATGGTTATTGCTTTTAGATCCTTATACTTTCCATTTTTTTGCTAAACCCCTGTGATATCTTTTCTCTAAGTGGTGAATACACGTAACCTTTGTCCTAGACAAAATTGGAGTTAATGACTTTACTTATCTTTTACTACAATTATATAAAAACTACTGTTATTCATATTCTTTAGTAAAATTTAAGTTAAGAGGGGCAACTGTAAACACCAATTTTATTCCACTAATCCTTTTACTAATTTCTTTCTCAAAATTTCCAAATTAATAATTTAATAACAAGTAATTTACAAATCAGATTTTAACTTAAATAAAAATATATACAATAATAATAATAACTATCTTCCTCCAACAAAATCTATACCATCCTACACTTTTCTGTTACTCTTAATTCTCCTCCAACAAGCTTGTTGAACTTCTCTGCCATAGCCACCAACACGTTCCTAAGAGCATGCTTCTGTCATATATCTTCCAAAAGCATGAACTTGGCACCAACTGCCAAAGAACAATTAAAACAATAGTGAGTCTATAAATATTATAACATAACATGAACAAAAGGGGAACAGAGAAGAAATTTTTCAAATAGAGAGAACCAAGAATAATAACTAGTGATCAAGAGTAAAGGAGCTCAAGCAGGAAGCAAGCAAAACAAGAAAACCAAATAAGAATATTGATAATAATAAGGCAACGTTCAATCAAATTTGGGTATCAATACTCTATCTAATCTTGTTTTGTATGTGGTCATTTTCCCTTTCTTGAAATAATATGTATGCAAATCAATATTCAATCACATTGAAAATCAATCTTTTCCCCTTTTAAATCAAATAAAACTCTTAGCCAAGGGTTTTCTACCCAGAAAATAAAAAACCAGTCACAATAGGAAAAGAGACGAAAATAAAATAAAAAATGGCTAATGAACAATACCAGGGAATGCAACGGTGCTTCCCGTGAACACCATCGTGCACCGCTGTGCACCGCTGTCGGAGGCAATTTCTGGCCAATACGAGTATCGTCGTGCACCGCCACACGTCGTCGTCAGAGGCAATTTTCGATGGCGGCATCATCGTCCTTTAGCCTCTTCCGTGGACCCTTACCATGCGCGACCGTGACGAACCATCATAAACACCACCATGCACCACCGTCGAAAACGATTTTTGGTGGTGGCAATAACCCTCTACTTTTCTCCGTTTCTCTCTTTAGCCATCGTCTCCTTCCCTTTATATGACCAACTAGCCACCTTAGCCTCGACGACACCATGGTAGCGATCCGCCGCACTGTCAACGTTCATGGAGGGAGGCTGCGCGCAAAACCCTAGCAGAGCCTCCCCCACTCCTCTCAGATCCCCTTCTTTTCTATTTTTAGGATTCCAGTGAAATGGCCAAGTGCCATATGATTTCTCCTTTTTCTTTCTATTTTAGCCCAAGCATATGGGCTAAGCCCATTCAACAAACAATTAATTTTTTTTTTTAAAAGTAATCAGATAATATATTTTATAGTTATAATTATAATAATATTATATATGTATATATAAGAAGTAGTATACGTAATATATATATATATATATATTAGATTCTTACGTAATTTTATATATTAGGTTATTACGTAACTTTAATATGTTTAGTATGTTTAGATAATAATAATTATAATAATAATAACTATTATTATAATAATAATAATAATGATAATAATTATTATTATTATAGGATTCCTCATCTACATTTATATTAATGATACCTATCATTTAAAAAAAAAAAGATTATTCGAATGTGACATTCTCTTGATTCTAGAGCTTAAAGGTGCAAGTTGTGACAATTTGTTATCTTAAAGTCCTTTTATTTAAAATATAATTAAATTTCAAAAAATATTATCACAATATTCAACATAAATATCCGAAGTTATTATATCAAAGATTTTATTTGAGGAATGGTTAATTAGGTGTGACATCTTTTTAACCTTTGAATTTAAGATATGTGACAACTTGATATTTTTAGATTTTTTCCCAAAATAAAAATATCCAACCAAAAAATCTTTTAAGTATATATCGTAGTAACAATAATATCGATAACAATAATTATAATTAAAATTAAATATTTTATTGAATTGACTTTGGTTTACACCTCAGTCAATTTTATATTTTAAGGTGAATGAGCTGAGACAATTCAAGAATCTTAAGTTTTAAAAAATTAAAATTTAACTAAAAATATATTAACACTAAAATATTTATTTTACAAAGAACTACGTGACTCTGATTATTTTTGTTGTTCTATTGTAAGACATTGTAATCTTTCTAAGTATACTGACTCTCGAGCTTAGTCACTTCAATGTCACCTTGGGTGATGATTCTCCAGAGCTGATATTGGGTGGACTTGATGAACATTTTCATTCTGTCCTTCTAGTATGGATAATTTTCTCCATTGAAGGCTAGAGGCCTTGTTAGAGAAGCTCCTTCTAGTAAGTACTATCCTTCACCGCTTCCCATTCTGGATCTTTTCCTTTAGCATGATTAGATGCTTAACCCCATCAAAGACTAGGCTTTGATTCCAATTGTTGGAGAGAAAGATACACACTAGAAGGGGGGTTGAATAATGTATATCAAAAACTCACATTTTTTTAGTGAAGCAGTGAAAAATGTAAACAGATGAAGTATTGGAAGGTAATCAAACGAAATGGTAAAACAAATGAAATGACACAAGTGTTTTTATACTGGTTCATCTCCAACCCAAAGACTTTGTCTAGTTCTCAATCCAACTAGATTGAGTTCCACTATCTTCAACAAGATACCGATATTCTTTACTAAGCCACTTATGACTAAACTCAAGTATTCTTTCACCATCTTCTCCAGGCTTAAACCCAATTTTTCTTTCAACAAGCCTCTCTAAGCTTAAACACAAGTATTATGTAAACAAACCTCTATAGGTTTAACCACTAAGTATTCTTTTAAGAAACTCTCTCCAGGCTTAACCCTTACAAATAAAATTGATAATAGTTACATAAATTGCTTCGTCTCTTCTAGACGTGATGCTATACAAATATAGAAAAAAATCTACAAATAACTAGATACAAGGTTTTACAAATAAGATCTTCTTTGCAGTGCTTCAGCTTGTTCTCAACTAACTTGATTAGTGAAAATTGCTTGATGGATATTGCTTTTTTATGTAGAATTATTTTCTTCTTTATACTAAGTCTATTGCATTATGATTTGCTTATCTCACTTTGTAGTGTGAAGGCTTGATCCTTATATAGTAGCCTTAGAGACTATTGTTGATGCATTTAATGTGAGCATTAAATGCTTATTAAGATGCGTGTACCTCTTATCTAATCTAGGCAACTACTTATCATTATTTCCTTCAACTTTTGAGTGTAGTAAATAGTGTCAGCCTAGAGCAGTTCGGGCTAGTGCAGAGCAGTCTTTTTCAGTCTTTTTATTTTTATTTTATGATATCCAAGATTGTGCTTCTTGGCTTTTCATGGAGATTTTGTCTTCTTTCTCATTAGTTCTCTTTGAGACTTTTTTTTTAATCTGCTAAGGGATAATACATTAAATGAATTGTAATGTTAGTCAGAATAGTGTTCATTTAATGTCAGTTAGACGGACTGTATGCTTTGTTTGATTTCTTTCATCTTATAGATAATATGTATTATCTTCACATTTTGTCTAATCTATTTTATTTTCTAAGAATGCTGACTCTTGTTCAAAGAAAATCTTCTGTTTGTCAACATTAAAACTTAAGGGATTGTCTGTTGTGTTAAAGACAAGGTTTTTGATTTAATAGAGTGTATAAAATGAGAGCATGTCTTATTGTGATAGAAGAAAGGGCTAAATGATAGTCTTTAGATTAAGGATAAAAAAAACTTAAATATTTTTTTAATCCCTAAAATTTAAAATTAGTGTTCTAAGTCATTGTAATTTTAATAAATATTATTTTAGTCTATATAGTCAAATTTTGCTAGAACTCTCTCACATAAAATTTACCTACTAGTGTCTTTGGTAGTGAAAACATCACATTAAATTCGGTTGATGTTGTATAGCTTTCTCAATCTATCATTTTCAAGTATATTATTGAAGACTTGAAGGACTAAAAACAAGGTTTTAAAGATTTATAAGACTAAAAACAATAGTTTTAAGTTTAATGAACCAAAAATAAATTTACTCTGAATTTGATACTAACAATATATTTAAGCCTACAAAATATTAATCTCAATTATAAACACCTCTTTTATAGTTTATTATTATTTTTGTCACTACGACTACTACTATTGTCACTGGCCATCGTTACTACCACCATCACCACCATGTGACAATGATGATGATGGTAGTAGTGACAACAATGGTGGCATAGACATTGGTGATGGCAACAACGTTACCACCATCACTATCCTTGCCATTGGACACCACCCCACCATCCTTATCGTTGTTATTGTTGTTGTTGCCACCCCATCACATTCATGACGATAGTGATGACCATAATAAAGACAACAATGATATTAACGACAATGTCAGTGATGACAAAAGTGTTAAAGATGACAATGAGAATGACAATAATGATAATGATAATGATAGTAAAAATGATAGAGACAATTATGAAATTACTAATAAACCACAAGTAAAAGAGTTTTCCTTGGCCATGGATATGTGTACATTAATTCATCTTTTATTTATTTATTTTTATTAAGTTGGTTCTCTTTCTGTCATCTCTATGTTTTGTTTTAGATAACATGGATTGAACTTGAATAAAAGGGAAGAAGAGGGAGGAGGTGGGTTTTTGTTGTTCTATTGTAAGACATTGTAATCTTTCTAAGTATACTGACTCTCGAGCTTAGTCACTTCAATGTCACCTTGGGTGATGATTCTCCAGAGCTGATATTGGGTGGACTTGATGAACATTTTCATTCTGTCCTTCTAGTATGGATAAAGAACTCAAAAATCTGATTTTTGTAGACCATTTTCTACTTTGCAGTTTTTCTAATGTTTTTTCATAAAAATAAACATTAGTTGCGACTTTATTGTTTTAAATTTTATTTTCGTCGTCCTGTTGCGATTTCAGTTGCGATACTATCCAAGATCTTAAGATTGTTTTGAGCTTTAGAGAACTCAAATTTCAAGGATTTTAGCCCATTGATAATGGTTTGGAATCTTCCAAACATCTCATCAATGGTTTCATTCTCCTTCATAGAGAACAATTCATAATGTCTCTAAAGAGCGGTAGCTTGTCTGAGCCTTATATCTTTAGTATTCTCATGATTTATCCTGATGGCTTCTAACATTTCTTTAGCATTCTTACAACTATAGAACTTGTTGTACTTCATTCTTGACAAAGAGCAAGCTAAGATGTATCTTGTCTTTGAGTTGAGCTGCAAGATGTTGTAGTCTTCCTACATGTACTCATTTTCTGACATGGGTACTAAAACATCACCACTTATGATGACCTTCCAGAGATGGTATTGGATGAACTTGATGAACATCTTAATTTTGTCCTTCTAATATGGGCATTATTTTCCATTAAAGGTTGGAGGCCTTGTAAGAGAGACTCCTTCAGACTTAAACAATCAAGTATTTTTTATAACAAAGTCTTTTCATGCTTCAAACAATAACATAAAGTTAAAGTTAGAAAATAACTTGTTTCATCTTACTATCAAGATATGATAAAACCAAATTAAGTACAAAGCTTTTTACATAAAGAATGAATATAATTTTTATAATGATTTTTCTTTATTTCTTTATGAATCTTTAAGCTTCTTTATATAGGTGTTTCATAAAGATGATCATTGCAAATCTTTGAGCATCTATCGCATGTTTTGTTTATCTTGTTTTCCTTCCTTACAGAGAAAAGTGTTCATTGATACATTAAATATGTTTCACCAAATTAACACGAATAATTAATAATTATTAGGTAGTAAATTTCTACATTAAATTATTTTATGATTTCATTTTAATTTTAATATAAATATAAATTTGTAATAATTTTTTAATTAAATTTAAATTTTATAAATTTAATTAATAAATTAATGTATAAATCAAAAACAATAATTTAAAAAAAAATTAATGCCCAAAATTGAGCAACGACACTTCAAGATTTTTTACTAAAAAAAAAAAAAATTGGCTCCCGAAGTTGGACAAAAAAACTTCAACTAAAAAAAATTAGATCCCTATAGTAGGCAATATTAATATAGTACTAATTCTCATTGAAAGTAGTGACACTATTATTCAAAGAAATAACTTTCCATTTTTTATTATGCACCATTAGCCATCCGACTCTCTTCTCAGCCATTTTTCAAAAGTGGTCATTTCAATGGTTAATTTAACAAAAAAAAAATTAATAAATTAATTTACAATAATGAAACAAATACTAAAATGATAAATATCAATTAGATTTCTTAGAATAATTTTTAAATAATATTGTTATAATTTTTAATTAACTAATATTAAATATTTGATATTGATTTATCCCTATGCGTAACCCATTGGACGAAAGGTGGAATATGGTTCACCCAAAGTCAGGTGATATCAGTTTCAAAATTCATATATGTTAAATACAAATAACTATTTTGTGATTTTAGGTAATTTTTTTGTCAAAAGTATTAATCTTTGACAAGAACAGTTTTTTATTTCTTCTATAAAAAATAAGCTACTTTATAAAGTTGAAAAAATGAAATTTATGATTATTTCTCTAATAGTTTTTTTTATTTAATGTTGATTTACTATATAAAAACTGATTATTTGTTATATCTAAACAAAATTAAATATCTCAATCATTTTTCATCAAATTTATCCAAACAAAAACTCATTCCGATAATAATTGATAATACATATAATCGATTATTAAATTAATTTAATTTTCATTATTTTTTCACTATATATATATATATATATATATATATATATATATATAACATCACTATATATGAAAGGAGATCCTAACTAGGTTAGGATACATCAATCATCTGCTACACATAAGAAAAAAACTAATATTAAAAGTAAATAAAAAATAAAAATTACGGGGAGACTAAGCCAAACCCACCAGCAGAAAAAGGTACGAAAAAGATTAATCAGCCACGAGCCATATCAGATCAGTCAACAGTCACCAATATGGCTCATGGATCAGCACCAACAGCTAAATCAGGATTTGAGCAGATTCAAGACAATGCATCTGCCAAACCAATGCTGGACCAGCAACTCTCTAACAGCCAAAAAACCAGCACCAGACCAAACAGCTGCTCCTATTTTGAACAATTTTTAGAACCAATATGCAATGATCTATTACATCACCAAAATTAGCAACAAGAACTGCAGCAAATGCTGAACTATACTTCTCCAACCAGCAACCAGAGATCAAGCCAAAGACTAAACCAAATCATGCAACAATGATATATCAAATCATGAAAATTTGGCAGCTCTAGATCTGGTTCTAGGAGCTGATAGCTTTTACTTTTTATTCTGACCCTTATGAACCGGAGCCACCTCAAGAGCCTTACTATCATCCCAATTAAAGCCACTGTCTGCAAGAATCTGTAAATCTTGCAGAACACAAGGATCAAACTCCTCCAAGGAAAGGGAGACTGGACGAACACCAGAGAGACACCAATCTGCCTAGGAGCTACAAGTTCAGAATCTGATAAGTCCTCCAAGCTAGGCATATCAGAATTGGAACTTAAGGATTTAGGTGCTTCAGATGGGACAGTAACCAATCTCTCTAGTTGAGCCATTGATTTTCCCTGCAAATGTTTAGGCACCGGAGGAACAGTATAATCAGGATCAGGTTCAGAAGCTGAACCAGCCTCATCAATTGCTGCAAAATTCCAAACTTTTTGCTTAGCATCAGAATCAGTAGCAGTGACTGCACCAACATTGAATAAACAGAAGCAGCTACACCAGGATCAACAACAACACATGCTGGATCAGCTACACCAGGAAAGGCAACCTGCTCACCATGTTCTGCATTGCGTTCTGATACAAAAATGAAATACTATCTACATATATATAAACTAATGCAATCTATTTAGAGTGTAACAACATAACACCCTATCGGTATAGAGTAAACTAGTGCAAGAGAATGGATACAAATTATACTATCTAGGTATAGCTTAAACAACAAACAATCATCAACAAAAAGAAGGATGGCAAGAGCTGAATCAATGACAAAAAGCAATCTGTTTTTTAAAAAACCTACATACAAGACCCGGATGAGTAAAAATAATTATTCTCTTTAATTTGGCAGTGCACAAAATCCATGTTCTTCAAAACAATCAAAATCGGCCAGCAGTTGCATATGTAAAAACTAATAATTAAAAATCAGACAATCTAGAAGCTACTTGCATCTACTTAGAGAGCATATTTGTTACTTATCATTTAAATGAGAATCCACGTGTTCAGAGCTCCTTGGGCATGGGGATAATATTTTAACATTTTACACTTGACCACCGGATCTAAGCATTTATTACTGCCATAAAATGTTTGCATTCTGCATAATATGTGCTGCAAAATTAATCACACATTTCAAGCTTAGAATGTTTCCGCTGAGAGTAACAATGGTCTTCGACTTGGTCTAAACAGTTTTCTAAAACTAAGGTTGTACAGTTAAATTGGATGATAAAGTACTGAGATTTGAGATTTCTGTTTCCTCTAAATTAATTCTGGAAGTCACTTAAAAATTTTGCAAGTGCTATCAACAACCACCCAGGAAGTTACTCAACTGATTTGACTCAACAGTTACATCCATGAAATTATTCAACTGATTTGACTCTACATTCTACATCCATGAAGTTATTCAAGTTAGAACAAATAGATAACAAAAAATGGGTCAGAAAAAATAAAGAAAGAAAGCTGCATACACATGGGAAAATAATTTTTTGATAAATATAGTTGCTGTAAATCCAATTCTGCAAAACTTCTGTAATTCAAACTTTTCTTTGTCTTCTACGCTCTCCTCTTGCTCTCTCTCTCTCTCTCTTCCATTGACATGAATTAAGGAAAATTAATTCTGATGAAAAGAAGCAGTTATACCACAACAGAAAACAAGCTGGACTCCTTTCACTGTTTTCTCCAATAGGTAGTCAGGCTTCGGATAAATGCTTAGGAGGAGTATTTGTGCTCAAAATTTTTCCATACTTCAGTTGATATGTGCAAAACTGCAAATACATATCAGACAAAAATGCTAAAAATCCGATAAACTAATTACATAACCCAATTCCCTTGGCGTAGTGCCACACTGGGCCTCCAATCTGAATAAAAAATAAAAGAACTTCTTAGAATTCAAACCTAAAATAAATAGAAAATAGTCAAGCTACCAAATTAAGAATTATTTTGACCAGTTAAGTATCGATACCTCAAGGAAAAGCACCTCCTCTAATGTCATCAAATTTTCTCCGAGTACAAATAATGAAGTAAAATCATTTAATTTCCATTCAATTGAATTGCTAGACCAAATTCTTGCCAGAAACCACCAGGATTCCTACAGATTTTACATCAAGCTTCACTGATGCAAATTATAATTTCTGATGGACACCACCCCATTGGCGTTGTCTAGCCCTCCTCTTCCTCCCATCCTTTTTCTCCTTTGCCTTTTCTTTCAAGTCCCTCTCTCCTCTCCGTTTATACATCTTGAATGTAATCTGCCTATCAGCTGCCATTTTCCTCACCTTCTCCGTGATCTCTTCTGCAAAGTGTTTATTATATAATTTCTTCAGACCACGCATAAGCTTTGCAAAAGTATCTGGCTGTGGCATTAAATCCTTATCCATCATGTCTATACAGAATGAACAAGCCTCTTTCACATGCCCTTTTGAAAAGAGAGCATGAATCCAGATTGTCCATGCACTCACATTCAGCTGACACCCTATAGAACCTGTGATGCAATTCCAAACATCTTTGGCCATTTCAAGCTTCTCAGCTCTTAGAAGAGAATTCATCAACTCCTTCAAGGTACCATATTGCGGAGCAGTAAAAAGCCCTCTCCCTACCATCTCTTTGAAATACTCGCAAGCTTCGACTAGACAGCCTTGCTCAAGAAACCCATTAATCATGATGACAAAGGTGTCAGTTCCTGGACTGAGCCCACTTGATTCCATTTCATTCCAAAGCCGAACACCTTCCTTTACCTCTCCCAACTTGCAAGCCAACCTAATGACTGTATTATAGATGTTAAGATCAGGAGCACAATCAATCTTCTGCATCTCTTTCACCAGTTCCATACATTCTTCCAGTTCTTCCTTCTTCTCATGAGCCACCATGATATGCAGATAAATAACCTGATTTGGGGAATGCCCTTGTTGTATCATCTCATCCAAAAGCTCATAACCCCTTTTGATTTTTCCCCATTTGCAAAATCCACTTATCAAAGTGGAATACGTCACAACATCCACCTGACAACCATTTCTCTGCATCTCAAGAAACACCCGTGTTGCCTCCTCCAACCTCTCATGTCTACATAGCGACTGGATCAAAACCGTGTAGGATGTTGCATTCGGTTCACAACCCTTCCTCTTCATCTCTTTCAAAAGATCATAAGCATCCCCCATTTTCCCAGCCTGTGCATACCCACCAAGCAAATTGTTAAAAACCACAATATCCGGTTCAATGCCCGCGTCCTTCATCTGCACAAGGACATGTTTAGCCTCCATAAGCTTCCCTTCCCTACACCACCCACACAT